ACCCTTTATAGTAGTGGCCACTTCGCTTCCCCCCCCCTCCTCGAGGGCGGCGAGTAGGCACACCGATTCTAAGTCTGCCCTCTAACTCAATGCATCAACAACCTATTTAGTCTTCCCACTTTTGTACTCCAAATTGTAGTTAAACTCGCGAGAAGTTCTTGTCATCTAGCTTGGTGGCCATTCAGCTTTACTTGGGTCATAAAAAGACTGACAACCATGTTTTCTATCTTCACAACGAATGGGGTCCCCAATAAGTAGTGCCTCCAAAAGCTTAGGCGATGTATGAATGCTAATAACTCTTTCTTGCAACATCAACGATGTATGAATGCTAATACAACATCCTTCAACTTACGACTCTCGTAAGAAACATGATGACCTTCTTGCAATAGAACTATGCCTAAGACAAAACCCGAAGCATCAGTCTGCACTTCAAAAGGCATGGCTAAATCAGGAAGGGCCATTACCAGACTACCGGGCATAGCCATTTTTAATGCATCAAAGGCCTCTTGGAGCTTTGGAGACCAATCCCAAGACGTGGCCTTCTTCAAGAGCTTTGTCTGTGGAAAAGCAATTAGTGAGTAGTTTCTCACGAACCGATGATAAAAGTTGCATAGTACAAGGAATTACCTTAGGCCATGGATGTCCTTGGGTAGTGGCCAGTCCATGATACCTGGATCTTTTATTGGTCCATATTGATTCTTCTCTCCTCAATAACATGACCGAGAAAGTCAATCCACTTTGAGCAAAGGTGCATTTAGAACGATTCACATACAATTCATGCTCTATTAGTCGTACTAGGACCATTCGCAAATGATCAAGGTGCTCCGCTAAGGTCTTGCTGTATACCACAATATCATCCAAGTAGACCACCACAAACTCGTCTATGTGTTCCTGGACAACTTGGTTCATCAAAGTGCAAAATGTAGTAGTAGCCCTCATCAAGCCAAATGGCATGACCAAGAAGTCAAACGACCTATACCGGTCACGCAGGTAGTTTTGTGTTCATCACCCTCGGAAATCCTCACTTGCCAATATTCCGTCTTCAGGTCAATCTTGGTAAACAAAGTTACGCCTCCCAGTTTGTCGGATGGGTTCACCATAAATGGAATAGGGTACTTATTCTTCACAGTAATCTTGTTTAGGGCCCAATAGTCAAGAGCCTTAAGGTACACTCATGTGTTTTTTGGAACAACACTAGTGAACCATAAGGAGAATTCGATGGCATAATAATTCCTAAATCAAGTATTTCCTTCAACTATCTCCGAAGCTCTGCGATCTCGGGCTATGAAATTCTATATGGTGCGCGGGCAGGTGGTTTCGCATCTAGCACTAATTCAATCTCGTTATCCACAGTCCTCATTGGCGGCAAGTGCTTAGGAATTTCCTACAGCATTATATCTTCGTATTCCACCAAGAGCTTCTTCAAGGTCATAAGGATGGGATAAGAAGAGCGCTCGATGTCTTCAACACAAAGGGAAGCCAGAAATGTTCCCATCGGGCATCTTTCCTGATATTGTTGGAATAAATCAAGTCTTGGCCCCATTTGCCCCAAACATGAACAACACATCTACAAACGACCGTGGATAGTGTTGGTGTTCCTCAAGAATTCAAAGCCAAGTATCAACTTGAAGTCATCTATGATCGCTACAAACAGATTCATCTTCCCCTCGTAAGGGCCACTTTTGACTTGGACTCCCTTAGCTATCCCTTCAACTGGACGGACTGGAGAGTTGATTGCCTTGACACGACCTTGTCCTTTCTCCATGACAAGACCAAGACACTCCACCTATGTGGAAGATAAGTAATTATGGGTTGCTCCTGTATCCACCATGGCTCAAATAGGTCTGTCATTGGCCCGCATATCAACAAACATCAATTCCTTACTTTTGCTGACATGGCGCTTGCCATCTCCTTTCAGAACCTTCTAAACAACAGGAACAATGGCTTTTTTTCCCGTATACTGGCACTAGAATCGCCCATTTCTTGAGCTACAGAATAGAGGGTATGAGAAAAGGCACCAAGTGGTCCTACTTCCTCTTGTTCCTCATCTACGTCTAGCTCTTCCTCCACTTTCCCCTCTTCCTAAGTTTGTTGGGCGTTCAATTTTTGCTATTAAGTACACTCGGAAGCATTATGCGGACCACCTCACCTAAAACATCCAGATCTTGGCAATGGATTATAAGGACCATTTCCGCGATAATTGTTGTATGATGCAACATTGTTGCTACCATAAAAGGGTTTCTTCACCAGCCCTGATGGCCTGATATTTCACTCGCCACCATAGCTTGGCGTCCCCTTGCAAATACATAGCAGCAGCTTCTACTTTCTTTTCTTCCTCTAATTCCCCAATAGCCTCAAAGTACTATTCGATGTCGAAGATAAAGTTCTCGAACTCCTTGGCATCTCGAGCACCACAATAGGTTTTTGGTTTAGGTATCTTAATCGTGTGTGGTAGGGGTGCGAGGTTCATTATACCTCCACCTAAATTATCACCTCATCCTCAGAGTAGGCTTTGTAGTGCACCTTGGAAAACGTTGAACCAACCAGTCAAGTTGTCGATGTCTTGTTGCATCGCTGCCTTCGTGGACGCATCTTCAATCCTTTGGTCTAAGTTATTAGCTGGCTCTTAGCGAAGCACCTCAATCGTGTGCCGATCACTCTTAGAGTATCGACTCATGTTTGTGATGTCACCTTCGGCCTGCCGCATCTTGTGGTCCAGGTCGTCAAACCTTTCTTCTATACTGGCCCTCAGACTGGGCACAATATCATTGAGACATCTCAATCCTCTGATTGCCTCTTCCATATTCGCAATGCAGTCTGTATTAGTTCTCTGACCAACCATGATCAACACTAGTATCTATCACAATATTTTTCCCTCGTACGATAGACAACCTAGGGTCTGATACCAACTGTTACACGGCGCATTCCTTAGAGGTCTTAGAAGGGCGATGTGAAGTAAAGTAACCGACTTTCATATGATTACTTTCCGCCAAACGAAGGTCCCCTCTACACGCTAGACTAGACTGTTAGTGCCGTGCGGGAAAACCAATGTCAAGATCACAATTTGCTTCGAGAGGATTGAATGAAAGCTTGCTTGTATTAACAAGGCAACAAACAACAATAATTACAAGCTTGCTTGTCACTAATTTTTTTCACATTGTTTTTACCTTATAATCCATCAAAATCATAAATTAAACATCTAAATGTTCTAATTTTAATGGTAGAGACTACACGAGTTACCTTGAAATAAGGCTCACAAACTGTTGATCTTGGGGCTTGAAGAACCCTTTCAATCCTTGAAGAAAACCTAGGATTTTAGATTAAATAGACGTTAAACAATATTAACGTGTCACACAAGCAGAACTGACTAGGTTATAATATTATTAGAGCTGTCAGTACGGGCTAGCCTAGCCCAACCCAGCCCAAACCTCGTGGGCTTTTAAATTTGGTGGGCTAGGGCGGGCCGACCCTCCATCTATATGGGCTTTAAAATGGCCAGCCCAACCCAGCCCTAAGAGGGTCGGGGGCTAAGGCGGGTCGGTCCTTCAATTTTTTTAGAAAAAAATATTTCTCCAAATCTTTAGATATTTTTTCGTGATATAATCTCTTGATCATATGACGACTTCAGTTTATTTAGAGTGTACAAGAATCTTGATATTTGACAAGGAATCTCGTAATTGAAATGCAAATTCTCTATATTTCTAGCTCATCTTTTTTTAACGTTACATGAATATTTTTAGAACTTTTCTTTCACTTTTCTTAGGTTCAGGAATTGCTTCAATAAGTTTTATATGTTAAGGTTTTTTAATTTAGGTGTAACATTGTTTGTCGATTTCATCATTATAGTCCATGAAATTTTTAAAACTCATGATAATTACTAGTATTGTCAAATTTTTTTGGCTATTAAAACTTGACCTTTTTCTATACCGAAGAGCCATTTAATAATTAATAATATATTAAAGTAACCAAACTGATCATTGGCCACTTAGAATAATATTTCTTTTGAAAAAAAATATTATTGGCCACTTAAAACTTTCATAGTTCGTTGTTAATTAAGCAAAAGAAAACTAATCTTGTCGTACTACGTGCATATCAAAAATATAAATTCTAATTGATATGGAAGGGTAAATGAGCAATCTAAGGTTAGTTAGTGGGGATTATAGTTAATATTTTTTTTTGTTTTTACTTTTTTTAAATATTTAAATTTGAATATAATTCATTTTGGCCCACGGGCCGGCCCAAGCCCAGCCTTGGTCAAGCCTCTAGGGCCAGGGCGGACTTATAAGCCTCAGTTTTAAATGAGCTCAAAAAATTTCAACCCAGTTCTACCCAAGTAGCAGACTGGGTTGGGCTGGCCTCACGGGCCAAGCCCATTTTGACGGCTCTAAATATTATACCTCTTATCTCATTTTTAGTCCAATAAATCAACTATGAATTAAGTAATTTTATTATTATTTAATTATAAATATTATAATCCCATAATTATAATCGCGTAATTATATTGTTAGAGATCTTATTTCCCAACCAGATGACCCTTCACAGCTTTCTCAAAGACATATTTTTTCCATTTCCTTCAGCGGGCAAGTTTCCAAACAAGTGCCGAATATACAGAGTGCAAAGTACTGTACACTACACAAGGGCAATAATATACGTACCACAGCAGCATCCATTTCTAGGTTGCTGAGTTCTTCTCGATCTTCTATGATATCTTTCCGCATTTGATCTCGAATTGCAACCATGAGAGCTCCACCTCTCCTCTATCCCCTCCTCCTCCTCCTCCTCCTCCTCTTGGCCACCTCTGCCTACTCCTGGAAAAAAGAGGAGTTTCGAAATTGCAACCAAACCCCATTTTGCAAACGCGCCCGTTCCCGAAAACACGGATCGTGCAATCTACGCGCCACTGATGTGTCCATCTCCGATGGGGATCTTATAGCCAAGCTTGTCCACAAAGAAGAAAACCCAGAAAGCGAACAGCCCAATAAGCCTTTGGTCCTCACTCTTTCGGCCTACCAAGATGGTGTGATGAGGGTGAAAATCGATGAAGATCAAAATTTGAATCGGCCCAAGAAAAGATTTGAAGTTCCTGAGGTGATTGAGGAAGATTTCTTGAACAAGAAGCTGTGGTTAACGAGAGTGAAGGAGGAGGAAATCGACGGTGTTTCCTCTGTTGTTTACTTGTCTGATGGGTATGAAGGGGTGTTGAGACATGACCCATTTGAGGTCTTTGTGAGAGAGAAAAGTAGTGGGAAGAGAGTGTTGTCCATTAACTCAAATGGGTTGTTTGATTTTGAACAGTTGAGGGAGAAGAAAGAAGGGGATGATTGGGAGGAGAAGTTTAGGAGTCATACTGATACCAGGCCTTATGGTCCACAATCTATTAGTTTTGATGTTTCCTTTTATGGTGCAGATTATGTTTATGGCATTCCTGAACATGCTACTAGTTTTGCTTTGAAACCAACTAGGGGCCCCGATATGGAGGAATTTTCAGAGCCTTATAGGTTGTTTAATCTTGACGTGTTTGAGTATCTTCACGAATCACCTTTTGGGCTTTATGGTTCCATACCTTTCATGATTTCGCACGGGAAAGCCAGGGGTAGCTCGGGTTTTTTCTGGTTGAATGCTGCTGAAATGCAGATTGATGTATTGGGATCTGGTTGGAATTCCAATGAGTCTTCGAATATAATGTTGCCCTCGGACAAGCAAAGGATTGATACTTTGTGGATGAATGAGGCTGGTGTAGTGGATACATTCTTTTTCATTGGTCCTGGACCAAAGGATGTGGTTAGGCAGTATACTAGTGTAACGGGGAGGCCATCTATGCCACAGTTATTCGCGACTGCATACCATCAATGTAGATGGAATTACAGAGACGAGGAAGATGTTTATAATGTTGATTCAAAATTTGATGAGCATGATATTCCCTATGATGTCTTGTGGCTTGATATCGAGCACACGGATGGGAAGAAGTACTTTACTTGGGATAGGGTGTTGTTTCCTAACCCAGAAGAAATGCAGAATAAGTTGGCCGCGAAGGGTAGGCACATGGTTACCATTGTGGATCCTCATATAAAGAGGGATGAGTCTTACCATATACACAAGGAGGCCTCCGAAAAGGGCTACTATGTTAAGGATGCTACTGGTAAGGATTATGATGGATGGTGTTGGCCCGGTTCCTCATCATATGTTGACTTGCTGAATCCCGAGATTAGGTCATGGTGGGGCGACAAATTCTCACTTGATAGCTACACTGGCTCAACTCAGTATTTACACATTTGGAATGACATGAATGAGCCTTCCGTCTTCAATGGGCCAGAGGTATATAATTTGCCTGTGATTATTTTGTTTCTTTGTTTTTGGTGCTTTTCCATTATGCTGGGACAGCATTCATATTAGATTATTCTGCTTTTGTGCATATTCACACTTATAGTATTTTCGTTGATAGAAGAATAGATTGCTTATACCTGTCTCTGAAATTCTACAAGGGTAGACTGTCTTGCAGTTTTCAAGAATGCAGTTAATTTTGTCAGATTTCACTTGCTACTGTCCACGTCTCAGGATCCTTTTTATTATAAAAGAATAGTATAATTATATTAAGTTTTCCCCTTAAAGGCACACATTCACAATATTCTATTTGAAGAATTTTCAAGAATCTCCATTACATGTGTGTTTTGCATTTGCAAGAATGTCAAGTAGGTGCATCTAAACAAAACAACAAACTTGTCCACGGAATGGTGGAACACGTCTTCAAGGAGGTCAATTAGGAAAGACAAAGGCCCCAAGATAGAAGCATTCTCTTGGAGTTGATACAACATATGTTGTGGTGGACTGGTGGTCGAGAGTAAAAAGGTGGAAATGTCGATCGACGACTCCATGTTCTGATTTACAACAAAACTAACTAGGCAGAAATTTATTTAATAAAGGAACAAACTTCCTGCAGAGGCATGTTTCATGCTTAATCCAAAGGATCAACATTACACTGCCAGTAGTTAAGTACCAATTTTTTCCTTTATGCCTTCGATTTTTTCACCGTGACAGTCAATGAATTTTTATTTTGGTAAAGCGAATCAACACTTTCCCTACCAAATCATTAGCTCCGTATTATTCTCCAGTTTGGCAAAGCCAATCAGCTGAAATTGAACTCATTGGTACTCCTTACTCGCTCTAGTCTGGTGCCTAGTTGCTCCGACATGGCAGTTAAGGTGCCGCACCCGTGTTGACACGACACGGGCGTGGGTATGGGATTTGTACTGTATTTGGTCAAGCAATGGGTACTTTGACCACGACGGACGTAAAAATTCGAGACGGGATACAATTTGATTCCTGAAATCAGAACCAAAACTATGTTAAATTTGAAGAAAATAGCATACCTTACCGAGGAAATCAATCCTTTACTTATCTATAACTTGAGAATAAAAAAGAAATCCACGTCCACAAAATTTCTCATAATTTAGAGATATTTATATATTTTTGAATTATTTTAGCCGAATCCCTGCACCCGTATCCGTACTAGATCCGTATCCCCGAATCTTAGAATTTACATCTCGAACGATCCGACCTCTAGATCCGCACTCGTGTCGGACACCCGCACCCCTGTCCAAGCAACTTAGGTTGCCTTGACTTAGCTTTTGTAATTACATAATTCCGTAACTTGTATAAATGCTACAATGAAGTTCTGAAAGTTATGATTCTGAGCGTATCCCTGAATGTGTGAAAAAGAAATTGGAGATGTTTCATATAAGAAAAAGAATTGACCCTGGGCAAGAAGTGCTTCAGTCTGAAAACTACCATTCATGCTAGTACTTGATATAATGATTTGATGTTGGCCAATGTTTCTCTGATAAAGAACTTCAAATTAATTAATTTTCAGGGATGAGCTTCTCAGAATATATAACAAGTTTGATATTTTACTCAACTATGATTGGGACGGCCAAGTAGATATATAGATGGCGTTGAAAATTTCTTGTTTTCTCATTGCCAGGTAACAATGCCAAGAGATGCTTTACATCATGGAGGAGTTGAGCACAGGGAGTTGCACAATGCATATGGTTACTATTTCCAGATGGCAACATCCAATGGGCTTCTAAAGCGCGGAGATGGAAAAGATAGGCCTTTTGTTTTGGGAAGGGCCTTCTTTGCCGGAAGTCAAAGATATGGAGCAATTTGGACTGGAGATAATACAGCTGAATGGGAACACTTGAGGGTTTCAGTCCCCATGGTGTTAACTCTTAGCATCTCCGGAATAGTATTTTCTGGTTAGTTAATATCCTCTTTTTGGGGTATTTACCTTATCAAGAAGGAAAAAAAAACCTCTTTTGGGGGTGGATGACTAGGTAACTATAAGTTTCTCTTTTTCTTAAATGCTGTACACCTTCTTATTTTACAGGTGCGGATGTTGGTGGATTTTTTGGCAATCCTGAGACTGAGCTGTTAGTTCGCTGGTATCAACTAGGTGCCTACTATCCCTTCTTCCGGGGGCATGCACATCATGACACCAAAAGACGGGAACCTTGGTTATTTGGGTATGATTCTTCGATTTTAATATTAAAAAGTTGTTAATACAAGAGTGATATGTCTTTTTCTCTATGTTCAATAATTTCATATATTTGTCTTTCATTTCTTCACTTTTTCTGTGATCCTTATTCACCACGAAGTTATCATGTATGTTTCTCATTCTGTATGCTAGATTACCGTGTCTAAGGTTGTAAGAAGTTCAAGCTCTCTATACTTGACTCCAATTTGGCATAAAGCGTAAAAAATATATTTTGAATGTTTATATAATTTCTTCAAGTATGACATAATAACTAATAGGTAATGATATTAAACAAGTATAAACAAATTAACAATATTAGTAGCAGTACTACAAAAATAAACTATCCCAGTAATGTGATAGATAAGAGAATCATTTCTTATGACGGTAGTGTCCGAGCCAGCTTGAAGAGATAAGAGATTCATAACAACAAGGAAAAAGCTAAAAGGCTCAGAAATAAAATATTAGTCCCCCCGTCCCAATTTATGTGCATTGTTTGACTTGGCATAGAGTTTAAGAAAGAACGAAAGATTTTTGAAAATTATGGTCTAAAAAAGCTTTACATATTTGTGTGGCTAGAAATCATCTCATTAAGGGTAAAATGAGGATTTTAAAGTTAAAATTGTTTCTAATTATAGAAAAGTGATATTCTCTTTGGGACGGACTAAAAGGGATAAAGTGACACATAAATTGGGACATAAGGAGTAATTGTTAGTCCTGTTCATTGGACCTGAAGTAGTCATTTGTTTCTCCATATGACTTGAGCTTGAATGTCATGAGCGAAACTCCTACTTTCAAGAATATAAATTTGGGAGAATAATAAAAAATAGTAATATAAATTTGCGAATTCATTGCCAGCTTAGAATTCAAGTAATTGCAAAGGCGAAAATTCACTTAAAATTCTAGTAACTATCAAAAGTGGACGTTGCACCTAAAGGTGTGCCTAGGAGAGTGGGTGAAAACCTTGAAGAAGAGGGTTCAAATCTCAACAAAGACAAAAATTGCTAGGTGATTTTTTCCTATCTGTCTGGGTCGTGGTGCGTTGATGGGAGGTAGCAGGTGCACACAAGCTGGCTCGGACACCACTGTTATGGAAAAAAAACTAGCAAAAGTGGAACCTCTAGCAAAAGTGGAAGCTCTGAGATGCATGTGGACCATCTAGAAAGAGAAATCTTGAAGTATTTGAAGGGATTGAAAATAATTTTGTATCGAGAAGTAGCATATATGTTTATGTAGGATTTTGGAGCATATGAGAGGTCAATTAGCTTAGATGTTGGTTGCTCTTTGTAGAGAATCATATTTTATCTGAAATTCACTTCCTGAAACTTCTACCTTGTGCATATCCTTAGAATGTGAGATTTTTTCCTTTAGGTCAGTAAAATCATTACATTATTAAAAGAAAAATCTATGAATCCTCAGATCTTTGATGAATCATGTGATGTGACTAGCCCATGAATGGGTATGTTAGGTGCTTCCCCTTGTTTAGAGGTGTTTAAACTTTGGAAAAGATGGCGTGGATAGGTGTCTGGAAAGATGATATTCTTTTTGTATATCTAATTGGTTAAGTACTGGAGTAGCTGAAGGTCAGTTGAAATATTTCGAATGAAAGATGCTACGAATCATTGCATGTTTTTCATCATCTTGGGCTTCTGAAATGGTCCCTTAAAGTACAAAAACAGAATTGATCAGATAAAAGAAACGGAGGGAGATTGTAGAGATTTATCTGGAGATCTTGGCCTTGCTCAATAGTACCTCTAGCTCAGTCATCAAAATTTTGAAGTATCAATTCTTTTATTCATAATACCACAATAAGCGTAATATGCCTATCCAAATGATTGATAGTCCCTATGTCATAGTTTTCCTAGCACTCCTTTTAGCTGCCTAAGATAATTTGCTGCTTACTTAAAACAGAGCTGCTCTTTGTTCTCCTTGCAGTAGGTGCTAAGATTTTCTAAGAGCACCAATTGGGTTCGTTTGTGTTTTGTTCTTTTTCCTTGGAAGAACATTACTTAAAACTCAAACTGATTAAATGACTCCTAGCCATCCTTGGCTTACATAGCTTACAACTGAGTGGTCGCTTGCTTATAAGTAATAAGCTCACTAACAATTTGTACCGACTTGGAAAATGATAAAATATGCATGTCACCTAGAACAACTCTTCTTAACGAGTTAGGAAATGAATATTTTGTTATGAAGTACCTACAAGATTCATTGACATATTTCAAAAGAAAAAGTAACAATAGAAATTAGACGTATTAACAACTAAAAGTAGGTAATTGGCCCTACTAGCTTGGAATTGAAACGCAATAGTAATTATTGAAACAACTAATAACCATTCACACTAAGTTTGACTTCATCACTGGGATTATGTGGACCGTCTCCGCATGAACATTTCAGCTTATCCATAGCTAAGCTCTATTGGGTGGACAATTACTTTTTTAAAATAGCAACAGATTCCTAACAATTCAACAAGGGAATAAACGATTTAACTATATGCGATATACCTGTTGGGATGAATTAAAGATCATGTATTAGATTTGATCTTAGCCTATCTAAGGTTTACCATCTATCCAATGTCGCCACCTGATCCAGTATCGTGACGTAGTTAACCATTACCTGATAATCCAATCATCTTCATGATTGCAACAAGTTTGTAAGGTTAAGTAGATAGCTTACAAGACAAAGAGGTCCTATAAATACTTCACTTCTATGAATAGGTTCAAGGAATCAAAGCTATGCATGTGTTTCTACCATATTAGGTGGTAAGTTGTGTGAAATGGGAACATATAGGTATCTCCAATAAGGTTAGAGATGAGGACAAGGAGCCATTGCATTGTAACACGAAATCAATGGAGTCATGGAATGATGAACAATTGAATCATGAATGGTGGGATTAGTTCCATGTGGCACTATTTGAGTGAAGTTTCTATCAATGGGTCTTGTAGGTAGTTTCCCAATAAAATATCAAATTGTTAACACGTAGCATCTGGTGGTCCTGTATCAGTTCTCGATGCATGCTTATATGCAAGGAAATATATGGTCTCATATGGATTTGTGCAAGACAATGTATGCATTTAAATGTTTAAGTAGTTCTTTTTGTTGTTCATATAATAGGTTGGGCTTAGGACCTACACATGTTACATAAGATCTCATTATTAATAAAGGTTGTTATGTCCATTACAGAGAAAGAAATACACAATTGATGAGGGAAGCGATACATGTTCGTTACATGTATCTCCCCTATTTCTACACACTTTTTAGAGAAGCAAACTCAAGTGGTACACCAGTTGCTCGTCCACTTTGGATGGAGTTCCCTGGAGACGAAAAATCTTTTAGCAATGATGAGGCTTTCATGATTGGAAATGGTCTTCTGGTGCAAGGAATTTATACGGAGGTTCTGTTCTAACTAAACAACTGCTCTCTCCAGTTTCTGTGACACTTTTGCCATTTTTGGACAATCTTAAATGTTTGACACCATTCTAATTCTTGTACAACTTTCAAGAATTTAAATACATTAAACTATTCACAACTTAACTTTGATATGATGATTGTTGTCTTTTTAACCACAACTATAGTATTCTCTTCCATCATCACTAATGTATTATGCAAGTTAAATTAACATCTTAAACGTTGTGCCTAGTCAAACACTGTCACATAAAATGAAATGAAGGGGGTAACTCATTTTCTTTCTCTGCAGGGGTGTTCTTTTCTTGAATCAGCTTCATCTCTTTTCTCTATTACTAAAACTGAAAATTCATATCTTTCCATGCAGCGAGCGAAACATGTTTCTGTCTATTTACCAGGGGATGAATCCTGGTATGATTTGAGAAGCGGATTTGCTTACAAAGGAGGTCAAACACACAAGTATGAGGTTTCAGAAGATAGTGTTCCCTCTTTCCAAAGGGCTGGAACCATCATACCAAGAAAAGATCGTCTCCGTCGGAGTTCGACGCAGATGGAAAATGATCCTTATACTCTGGTAACATCTATATCTTGAATCCATTGGAACACATTAACGTAAATCTAATCTTTGCTGCATCTGTTCTTTAACTGATATGTTTTTCATTGTAAATCCGAAAGTCCTGGCATTTAAGCACATAACTAGACTGAATGAAGAACGGGCTCACCAATGACTTGTCTTCCTTCTTGTCCAATTTCAGTGCGTTTTCCTTTTGAATCCAAAATCTTGCATCTAATGAAAACTAGCTTTGCCAAACATGGAATTCTCCAACGAGCATTTTGCGTTAATTTGTATAGTCATGCCATGACATCAATGAACTAGTGGTCTCAGCTTACACTTTGCTATTTTTGTGACTTAGTACCCCATCTTGGTGCTCTCAAAAGATAAAGAAAAAAGTTAAATCCCCGAAGGCTTGTTAGCATCTTTAACATCCAGCATCTTTTATACCGCAGGTTATATCTCTTAATAGTTCCCAAGCAGCTGAAGGTGAGCTCTATATCGATGATGGGAAGAGTTTTGAGTTCAAACAAGGTGCCTTTATTCATCGGTTTTTCACATTCTCGAATGGAAAGCTTACATCTTCAAATGCCGCGCCTTCTTCAGCTGGAAATGACAGATTTTCTTCCGAGTGCACCGTAGAGAGGATAATCTTGCTAGGATTGTCTCCTGGAGCAACAACTGCCCTTGTTGAACCAGGAAACAGGAAAGTGGAAATTGAGCTCGGGCCACTCTTCATTCAAGGAAATCGAGGATCTGTTCTTACCATCCGCAAGCCTAATGTGCGTATTGCAGATGATTGGTCGATCCAAATTTTGTAATAAGTTGCTACTTGCTGGTTATCATTAAGTCTACATTCTCCCTACATCTTATATTTGGTTGGACCAGCAAATAGAGTAATTTCTGACTACGAAGAAGATTTTAACATTAGTGAAGATCATTTTACAGGAATAGTTTGAAGCTGATCCTTTGTTGAGTCATCAGATTTTTCAGTATGGAATTAGGAGCCATGTCTCTGAATTCTCTGATCCTAGTTTGGTAATTTAAGACTAACTCTCAGCCAATATCTAGTATCTCCTATATAATTTTTCCATAAAATGGTAACTGAAGTGGTGTATACTATTGGTCGTTTGGTTGCTAGTATATGGTGTTATAATACTTGCATAAACACCAATGTTAGCAATGCAATATTTGGTTAGCATTTGTGATACTTGCAAATAATTCAGCGTTTACAATGCAATGAGAAATTAATAAAATAATTTGATATGAATATTTTATTTGGAGGTTCATTTACTCCTTAGAAAAAGAAGAAACCAATTTATAGGCTCAAATTGATAATTTGAAATAACTAAACCGATTAATTCAATAATCATACAACTCGAGCTTATTTGGTTTGAGTTTGAATTATAATTTCTTGCCATGCATCACATTTTAAGCTTCCATAATTTTGGCCTTCATAGGTGGTGTCATAAGAGAAACATTATTTTGAGATTATTAATAAGTCCTAAATATGAGTGTGTGGATCAGTTCGTAAGCATTGGCGTCATCAAACATTATTTTGAATTATCGAAAGAAGACAAAAAGAGGGAAAATAGAGAGGTGGGGTCAGAAAATTGTTTGAAAATGTTAAGAGTTATTAGACAACTCAGAAAAACTATCAAAATCTTCTAGGATGTCTGTCCAAAATATTTTATTTGTAACCAGAGGAACTATCAAAATCTTCGCATTGTTAAAAAGCTTTTTCTTCACAGCTTCTTTGGCCAACAGATCTACCACACTATTCTGTTCCGTGAATATGTGCTTGACAAAGATACTCCAGCCTTTGCATTAACTGCCTGCATTCAACAATAATAAGTTCATAACTAACATTGTCATGATTGATCATTCCTATTACCTCTGTTGAGTCTGTTGCTATCTCCAGTGGTATTAAGTTTTGATCAGTGGCTATTTTGAGTCCCTACAGCAAAGCTAATAGTTATGTTACGTTGTTAGTTGCCTGTGGGATGCCTTTCAAAAGTAAACTTCTCATCCAAGCTATCATTACTAATTTACCATCCAATGTGTCTTTTACAATACATAATTGTATACTTTTCATTTAACCCTTATGACATATTTTGTGTGAGAATGCACGGGAGAAAAATCTATTATTTATGTTAATTGTAATACAATGTCTTATTTATAAGTACACATAATATATAACCTACTCCTATTACATATGGGATTAGGACTAGTTACATATATATTCACATAGCTATTCTAATACTCCCTTTCAAGCTGGTGCATACAAATCATATGTACTGAGCTTGTTACATATATAACTAATACGAGGACCACTGAGGGACTTGGTGAATATCTCCTGAGAGTATCTTTTCTCTGAGGAAGTGACAGTCAATCTCAATGTGTTTAGTTCTCTCATGGAACACCGGATATACAATATGAAGAGCAACTTGATTATCACAACAAGCTCCATTTGGCTTATCTCACCAAATTTCAACTCCTTGAGCAACTGTTTGATGCAAACTAGCTCACACATTGCCATAGCCATTGCTCGATATTTTTCTTCTGCACTAGGATGAGACGATATTCTGTTTCTTGCTCTTCCAAGACACCAAGTTACCTCCTACTAAAACATAATTCCAGACCTAGGACGTTTATCAGAAGGTGATCCTGCCCAATCAGCATCTGAGTATCCAACGATCTGCTCATGGCCGCGATCCTCAAACAATAGTCCTTTGCCTAGACTTGATTTTATATACCGAAGAATGCAGACAACTACATCCCAATGACTATCATAGGGAGAATCCATAAACTAACTCACAACACTCACAGGAAAGGAAATGTCAGGTCTAGCCATTGTAAGGTAATCTAATTTACCAACCAGCCGCCCATATCTTGCAGGATCACTAAGCAGATCCCTCCTGTCCTGGTAGAAATTTAGAATTCGGATCCATAGGAGTGTCAACAGGTCTACAACCTGTCATTCCTATCTCCTTAAGAATGTCTAAGACATACTTCTGCTATGAGATCACAATACTTGAATTAGACTGAGCGACCTCAATACCCAAAAAATACTTTAATATGCCTAGATCCTTAGTCTGAAAGGGCTGGAAGAGATGATGCTTCAACTTAGTAAAATCATCATGATCATTACCGGTAATAACAATATTGTCAACATAAACTACTAGATAAATACGGAGATTTGAAGCAGAATGCCGATAAAACACGGAGTGATCAGCTTCACTACGCATCATGCCAAACTCCTGAACAACTATACTGAACTTGTCAAACCAGACTGGAGGAGACTGTTTTACACCATAGAGTGACTGGCGCAACACTGATAAATAGTGACTTTGACGCAAACAGTCACCTAGGTCATTGGAAAATTACACGGCGATTGAGTTCGTCTTTCCGGATGTCGCTGGAGTGACACACATCGATCTTTTCTCACCAACGCTCTGATACCATGTGAGAATGCACAAAAAACTTTTTTATTATTTATGTTAATTGTAATACAACGCCCTATTAATAAATACACATAATATATAACCTACTTCTATTACATATGGGACTAGGACTATTACATGTATATTCATATAATTATTCTAACATTTTGTATCAGTGAAAACTCCGTGACTTATTTAAGAATATAAGTTTTAACATATTTCCTTATTTTTTGAATTTCATGTCTAATCAAACTTGATATAAGTGGAAACGATGAAGCATTAGACAAAGAAAATGTATATGCATTTGACTTCATAGATTTCGGTATTGTATTAATTAAAATCCTTGGTTAAACAATATAAAAAAATTAAAAAAGATGTGAGAAAACTTAACGTGATAATCGATATGACGGTACGGTATAAGGCGTAAAACATGCCCATATAGAATTTTGTAAAGCCAAAAAAATAATTATACGAAATATTAAGATGAAGGAAAGGCAAAAGGTTTTTGCTTCTTGTTTTTCTTAACTTTCTTCATCCTCCGTGATAAAGTTTAAATTAAAAGCACTCAAATAAATGGGGGAAAAAGAAGAAGAAGAAGGATAAGACGAGTTCTCGAGGTAAATATTGAAGAAGAGAAGAAAAATGAACAAAATTGATTAGTTTAAATTTAGTAAATTTCATGGTTGTCACTCAATGTTTATTTTATTGCATTAGAGAGACTAAGCTATTTTTTGTTACCAAAAAAAAAAAAAAAAAAAAAAAAAAAAAAAAACTCGATTCATGAATCATATTTGCACAGATGTTACATCAGCTACTTGGTAGTTTCGTGATACTCTACTAAAAGAGGTCTCAAAATTTTGAATGACTTTCGTGAAAACTACCTTCTTCTTTTTTTTTTTTTTTTTTTTTNAAAAAAAAAAAAAAAAAAAAAAAACTCGATTATACAGAAAGTTACTTCGAAGAAATAAATGAGAGGTTCTCCAAGATTTTAGGCATAGTTAACTTTTTGGTTACAAAAAAGAATATTTAGTGGCATCCACGTGACACTTAGGCAAAGTTGAGTAACTTTTTGGTTATCAAAAAGATATTTGGTGACTTTTTGTGATACTTGCGCAGAATTGAATAGCTTTTTCTCTGTAAAAACTAGCTTAGTAATTTTGGTGCAATAAAATAAAAGCTAGAATAACCATCTATTCCTATGGGGACATTTGATAAAAAAGAGAGCAACCATCCATGAAATTTGAATCTGGCCAGATTTTTAGTTTATTCTTTCTAGATTAAAAAATAAGACAAAAAAAGTGTGAGTGATCAAACAATAAGTAAAAGTACATATATTTAATGATTGAAAGAACAATACTGTTCAAAGACTTATAAACCGAGTGCACAGTAATATAGTGGGTTGAGGAGAGTTTGTAGTACTCTTGCCTGTGCTTGAGTTTGTAACAAATTTTCAGATGTTTCTCTTTGTAAGTGATGATGAAGAACTGAACATAGTGTAGGGTCAATCAGTTATCGAATAGCTGGGATATCACCATCAGATTTACTGTCAATGCACTGTAATTTGTCTCTTTAATAACGAAATTCAACGACAAGGTTTCTTTCATTCGTCACTTTATAAATTGAACGTTTCAAAGATTTTTATTATCTCCGCTACTTCCAAAAGTGAGTAAGATATCAAATTTTATTGAAAGCAAAAGGTGATAGTGAGGTAGCCTTTTTTTTTTAACGGAAAAATTACGCGCTTCACAAATAATAACCGATAAAATATATATTTTTGTATATTAATGTATAATATACATATTTATACATAATTAGTGTATATTTTTTTTTATATTTAGCGAGAGGAAGTAATTATTTTTGGCCGACCAATCAAATGTTTAACTTGCCCTTTTAAACTTGATTTTTAATATCTCCGCCCCACACTCCCTACCCCTAGCCCAAAAATAAGAAAAGGAAGTTGATTCTTATACAATCAAACCTCACTATAACAGCCTCATTTGTTTAAGATATTTTTGGATGTTATAGCGAATTGTTGTTATAGAAAATATATATTATAACATAATAACATGAAATTTGGTTCCGGAAAAACTTGGCTTTTATAGTGAAGTATTGTTATATAAGAATGATGTTATAGAGAGGTCTGACTGTATGTATGCGCGCACAAGAGTGTTTTTTTTGAACCTAGGAAGTGAATTTTGGGAGAGAAATCCACATTAACTTTACCTTATTTCAATGTATGGTTTCTACTAGTCGTTCAAAAATATCGCGAATCTGACAATGAACAATCGTGACCCTTTGATATATATTGAAGTTACGCGCCAAACAAGTTCGTAAATCTCTTCCAAATCAATATAGAAATTAAGGCAATGGCGGTATATTACTAGCTTGATCCTGAATACGCAAATTTAGCTGAAACATAAAGTCCACTCCTCGAATTGAAAAAGACAGAAAGAAGAAACTAAAGAAACAACTAACTTTTCATTCAAACATGTATTAGGTACCAGTTTTAACTTAATTATACTATTATCCGCCACTCCTTATCTATCAATTGTATAATTGTTATTCAAGATTTTGATTGGGCCTACCAGGTCGAATCCTGTGAATAGGAAATGTTCAACACATGTCTACTACACTGATACCAGAAATAACTATAAAATTCTTTGTTTCATTTTAT